TCCTGGCTTCTCAGCTAAATAGTTGTGAAAGTATTTTTTGCAGCAAGGTGTGGCACATATCAAATTAAACTGCATAACTTGACCTTTCCTTCAACACTAGCTGCTTGTCTGTGTAACAAAGTATTGCTGAGAAAAAAATGTATTCTAAACTTACATAATCACAGTTTAGTTTGAAGTACTCATGAGTTCGTCATTACGTCAATGTGTTAATATCTAGATATGTTAACATGCAAATGATTGTACAGATAGAACATTCTTACATTGTTTCCAACACAGAGCTGACATTACATCCAACTCTGGATGAAAAATCAACACAAAATATTGCATTTTCTTTCTATTGCAATGATTCAAAAGTTGAGGTCAAAAGATAACTGCAGGCCATCTGTGTGCAAGAGAGTGTTGATTCTACATTCTGTGGGGCCCAAGAGACTGAGGTCATTGGGGTCCCTTGTTTTGGGTGAAACATTTGTCTGGTTTGCCACTTCTGCCAGTAGGCAACTATTATGTAAAGTCATTTCAAAATAATGGCATTTAATTCCATTAGGTACCAGGTACGTTTTTCCCAATTTCTAAATTGTTCAGCGTCCCACCACTGTAGTTCTGATATTGCAAGATTCTAGATAATATCCCCCACACAGTTAAGCAACGACATCGCTACTGCAAGCATTTTATGGTAAGATACATGTAACAACATAACAGTTTCATAATACAGTTTTTTCCCTTCAGTATAAGGCTAATATAAACAATATGCAAGTATTAGAATATCAAATGATGCAAAATCTGAACAGCCTAGATGTTCTGAAAAAACAAGACATAGTATGTTTGGCTAATCCCTAAAAATCACAGCAGTGAAATTACATTTAAACAGCCTTCCTTATTGTGCCACCTAAAAGTGGTTAAATGCTGCAAAAAATATGTTTTATGGGATTTTAATCTCTTCTTTATCCAAGGAATCAAATGGTACCTCATCTCTGAAAAAGGTTCAAAAGTTATGAGCCTATACACACTTCCAAAATTGGCTCACTGGTGATGCTACAGTGCTAGAGGCACAAAAACCGAAATTTACTAGGCTCTTCCTCTGTGCATGTTTCACCTCTCTACCAAGTTTCATGAAAATTGGCTGGGTAGTTTTTTGGATAATACTGCTCACAGTCAAACAAACAGCAACAAAACATACTGCTTTGGGAAGGCAATTGACCATTTAGAGTGTTTGTCTGTAGGTGCAATATGATGTCAAAAAGTCTAAGAACAGAAAAGTGTGTTGGTGCATTGGGGTTACCAACTTCTGTTGTGTGGATGCTGGTGCAGCTGTCACATGAATGTCTGTATCAACTGTCATGGCAATGAACCAAATAGCTCTTGAGACATTTTGATTAAATCCATAAATGTCAGCCTCATGGTGGCACAATATAAGGAAAGTCAGTTGATCATGACAATGACTTGGATACACCATTTAAGAACCATAGATGTCTGTCAAATCTTGTAGCAAACCAACTGTTGTAACTAACAGTTCAATAAAAAGTTTACGTTCCAATGGTGTTAGATGGACATCATTAGAATTCGTCCTCTGTGGATCCTGAACATCCATACATGCTTTTAGGGTAATCCATCCAGGAGTTGAGATAATTCAGTAAAAGGACAAATTGGATGATCCAGAGGGAAGAGTTGGGTCACAGAGACACATTCTCAAACCAAAAAAACAGATCATAACCTCTTTGCAATCATATGAAAACTTTGGACAGAACAAAAGCTGACTGCGTCACAATGTTTTTCGTCTTTATTTTTCACCTTCACAGTGACTCAGTAAAAGAAGAAAAGAGCAAAGACTCTGTGATCCCTCTTTCACAGAACGACTTCGAGATTCTCAGGATAGATGACCCATTAGGTTAGGGTGACTGAAACGGGAACTCAATCTAATGCCTCATTTCCTCTCAGAGATGAGACAAGCTTCATGGCTTGACCTCTCCCGAAAGGATCTCTTTCTTTCTACAGTGGCCACGTTGTAATCTCACACATCGCTGTCTCGCTTAATCCGAAAATAATATCACAGCCATTAGCAAAGGCAAAGACCTGGAAAATCCAATTTGAAAATCATACTGTCGTGTTCGTAGACTTGATCTTTCCATATGCGTGATGCCACGTGTGGTTTAACTGGACATTCATCTCTGATTGCGAGAGAAGTCAGAGAGGAAGCAGTTCTGGGTGAAAGAATGAATCGATTTGCACTGTTTAGCACCAGCCTACGTACTAGAGGATAGAAAGGTTGCTTATGAAAAGCCAAGTAAGATATAAGACGATGAGAAGTATTTTCTTTTGCGTCTTAAAATTGTAGAAAACATTTGCTCGTGGTCTGAGGCTTTTCGCTTGGCTAGCTGCACAGCTCTAGGGATCGCAATGTTGGTTGGTCGGTCCACCGCTTTGGTCCACTCTGAAATGTCTCTATAACTACTGCATGGATTGTGATTTTGCACAGTTACTCATAGTCACCATTGGATGACTCTGAACGTCCCCTGACTTCTCCTCCCAAACCATAAAGTGGCAGACATTCTTCAGCTATATGTGCTATGCCTCAGTAACTCCTGGATGTAATGACAATATTTGCTGCAGACACGCATGGTTTCCAGAAAACAAACCCCAGAGACTTTGGTGAATCCAAGACTCTTTATCTTGTGCCACCACACTATTACTGGGTCTAAGCTTTCACGTATCTGGTAAAAATTTTAATACTTTCTGGATGGATTGGCAGAAAATTGCATACTGACATTCATAATCCCCAGATGACTTGGTAATTGCCAGACATCTTCTCCAGCGCCACCATGAAATTGATGTTTGTGGGTTTTCAATGAAATGTTTTGACACCTATTGTACAGATGGTCTTGAAATGTATAGACATTATTTACCCCTTGAGGTGAACTTTAACTTTGGTACTGATCAAATTTGCATTCCCATTGATATTTTGCTTTGCATTTTCGATGGTTAACTCTAAAATAAATATTGCCCTTACATCAGCATGTTGGCAGGCCAAACCAAGTCATTCATGTGTGGATTATAATTTTCAAACATGCAAATCACCAGGATCAGGTTGAAAAGTTTACCCATAAGGAAAGATGCAGCACTACCCCACAGGGTGATTACAGAGCTTACAGCAAGTCTGGTCCAATGCACAGCAGTGTCGGTGTATTACCATTCATGCGAGCTGCGATTGAGATTCCTTAAATCTATTGCACATCAGCAGTACATGTAAAAGAGGAGCAAGCAAAAACTGTCCTCCAACACGGGCCGGTAATTACTTAGGCAGAATATGTAGTAGACCTTTGTTCAGACTGATATTTTTCATGCGCTAACTGTCTGAAAAGGCTAATGAGCTGCACGGTGTCAACAGACGGCAGTCTCCTGGCCAAAAACTTTTAATTTGACACTTCTATTGTCTATCATCAAGGGGAGAAAGACAAAGAGTGCCTGCAACTCCTCAAGGCTTCTGGGTGACTGTATCTGTTGGTGTGTTCAAAACAGCAGCAGCAGCCTGTAATGTGGAGCAGCTTCTTCTGCTCAGCGGGCTCGAAACAAATGGGTTATTTAGAGCCTACTTCATTTGCACTTGTGGAAAAAGGGCAGAAAGGAAATGAGAACCCCTTGACGGTTCAGCGTTGGATGTATTTAATTAGCCAATTCACTCTCTCCTTTGCCGCCTCAGTGGGCACAATACTTCTTTGTATTTTTTAAAGTAATTGTCACTTGCCGCATCAGCATTCACCGGATCCAGGCATGCAGTCAGGAGGAGGGGAAAAAAAATTGTCCCCTCGTCCCTACTAGGGGTTTGTAAAAATAGACATTCAGGCAGATATTATGCTGCACTGCTGGTCAGAGATAACCTATGCAGACTAGATGCTGTGTTCATGAGCCATGAAGTAGAGGTGTGGGCATAATAGGCTCCAGTGGCAATCTGTAATAGATCCTTTTGCTTTACTCAACTGGCTGGGCTCTGCAGGCAGTTATTCGGGTAAACAACAAAAAATGGTCTCATCTAAATTTATGGTAAAAAGTTAAAAGATTCAAATGTCACACTGATCCAAGCTTTGGAAAATACAGGACTAAGGGTTTACTATCACACTAGCAGCTCAGTGAGGAAGTAATGCTCAGTGTCACTCATAATGAGAACGTTAACACGCTGATGTGCTGACATTCATCAGATATTATATTTACCATGGTAGTTTAGCACATTAGGATGCTAAGTGCTAATGATAATTACAACTAAAAGTGAAAAGAAGCTGAGGCTGATGGTGGAACGAATGGTTTAGCAGGTATTTGCTCATAAACTAAAGTCATGGATCAAGACAAGGTTTGAAATGAACGCATCTGCTGGGGACCATGAATGTATGAAGTCAATTTCATGGTAATCCACCAGATATATAGACACATTTAATTCAAAACCAAAAATGTCACCATCACTGTTGTGCCACATTAAAAGTCAGGGGATCACCAAAGATTCATCCACTGGAAGCCATGACATCTGTGTTGAATTTCATGCCAATCCACCCAGTACAGATATTTTATTTTAAACCAAACTGTTGGACTGACAAAATGTAACAATGTCATCCCTGGATCCACAGTGCAAAGTGTCTTTAAAGTACTCCTATTGAACATTCTGTAGAAACTACTTGACTAGCCCATCGTACCATGACGAACTTCACAAGGTGAAGAGTGTGCGATATTTCAAATGAAAAGGGCCATGTTCAGTGTTTTACCATACATCTTTACAGTGATTCTTACTACCACGCATGTTACATAAATATCATCAGGCATTGACACACATTCACAAATAAACCCACAACTAGACAAAAATCAAAGAGCTCCACATACTGTAATTACACTCAAGTGGAGGATGAACTGCTGCACCCCAGGGCTGGAGTGTCTCTATAATAAGCTTTCATCAAGAACAATGTCCCACATATAAACCAGCAGTGTTCTCCAGCAGACAGAAAAAACCCCAGAAAAGATGATTGTTTCAAAAATACAACTGTTTAATTGTGTTGAAAAGGGTAAGAAAAAAAAAGAAAAAAGAAGTGGTCAGATATGTGTACATACAGGCTTTTGAACCATTATGATGCATTTTGGGATAATTACAAAAGGACTGAAAAAGATTTACAACCACAAAGAAAACTGTTCTGTGAGAAAAGAACTTCAGTGTTCTTATTTTGCATTTGCTGGATATGTGTTAATGTTTCGCAGCCTGGCAGTGTCCTGTTTCAACATGAATCCGTTTGCAAGTGATGACACACTACCAAACATTTTAACCAGAAACCACAACTTGAGATGCTGGACAAGCTCTTACACGCTCGCTGCATTTCCCTCTGCAGTTAAACTCCATTCTCATACTAATCTGTGCAGGATGTTACCGTAACTTACAAAAACAGTGCGTGTTCACGGAGGTTCTCAGCTGTCCCATGTGCTCCTGAGCTCCTTATCAAGGGCGATGAATGGAGTCGTGATCGCTCAGATTCCCCGTTGTGACCTCACAGTCTCAGGTATGCCACCTGGGAACGACAAAAGTTTAGTTAGTGTTGAAATCTATGAGGAAACTCGTGACACAGAAGAGTCCAGTGAAATTAATTTAACTTTAGCATTTAAAAATGCCAGTTTGGTGCAGTGAGGATTATTTTTTTTGTTTCCCAAAGCACAGATGTACTGGATCTCTTTGGTCGACTGATCAGCGCAGCAACACATTATCTGCAATTACTGCCTTCAAACAACAAAAAAAACCACAGGTGGTAGAGATTTAATCAACTTCAAAAAACACACATTCAGATAAACAAAGCCCAGAAAACAAATCAGCTCGGCTCCGTCCCCCCTCTCTCGCCTTCCCTCTCTTTTCCTCCATCTGCTATTTCTGGGTGTTTGCCTGCTGCAGACAATGGTTGCGCTCCACTGAGGGCTCTATATTGGGATGATGGATGAGGGCATTTGCCTCACTCAAGGCCCTGTCTTCTCCGTCCCCATGCCAGTGTCTGCTCACCACTCAAGCGCATCAATGGTAATTCATACAAATGATAAGAAACGGCAACTAGAGGTGAGCTGCTGCGAACACAGCCCCGAGTCCCAGAAACAGAGCGTGATAAGCAACTGGAGCAATGGGAGTCTGGATGGAGCAGTGAGGCAGGATTGTGACCGGAGGAACCCAAATGCTCAGAGTAAGAAAGAAAGAAAGAAAGGGAAAAAAAAAAGGTTTTCAGGGCATTTAAAGAAAAACTTATTTCTTTTGAAAGTTTTATAAGAATGATTATGTAAAGGTGAATTTTCCTGTTAACCTGCCTGAATAAACAGAGATGATTCAGCTTCAATCTAATGACTGATTAATCAAGTGAAAGTTTAAATTTCTTCTAACCATATACTGGATATATGTGTCCAAAACACTGCAACAAAAAATATATATACATTAGGTGATTAGAGCTGAAACAAACTGTCAAGTGGTCAAAAAACACTTGCTATTATCGATTATTTTAAAACACATTTTTAGGTGAGGCTTTATCTGGTTCCAGGTTCTCAAATGTTCTTTTATTTCCCCATCCATCACCTGTAACTGCTTTCGCCTGCAGAGGGCTGGAGCTCATCCCAGCTGACATCAGGTAAGAGGTGGGTACGCCCTAGACAGGTCGCCAGTCCATCCGAGGCTAATGCAAGGAGGCAGACAACCGTGCAGGCTCACACTCACACATACTCAGCTACCATGCATGTCTTTGGAGTGTGGATGGAAGCTGGAGCAACTAAAAAAAAAACCCACACAGGCAAAGGCAGAACATGCAGAAAGCCAAACAGTTCCAACCACTGGACTTTGTTTCTTTCTTTCTGGGATATAAAATCATAATTAAAATTACATCAACAGGCAGTAGAAGCAATTTAAGTAACTTGGGCCTTGAGAACCGGATGCATTAGCATTATCTTGGAAACTACTGAATGATTAATCGGGAAACTCATAAGCAGATGAACTTATAATAAATAATCTTTAGTGTAGACCTATTCTCGACAATAAACTGTATAAATAAGAAGAAAATCTTACAGTATTCTCTCAGAGGGATCCACAGTATCACTGGGACCCTGCTTAACATTCTTAGATGTTCAACCCACAGAAAGCAAGCAAATCTAGCACATCTGTCAAATTCTTGTCAGAATGAGTCACCTGGTTCTCTCAGTAATTGCTCATATGCAGATAACAAAAGTAAGCTGCCAGCGCTGTGACGTTTTAAACTCAAGTTCCTCCATAACATGAGCCGTTAATTCCAAGCTGCACACCAGCGAGTCGAAGGCCTGACGGAAATGACTAATAATGGAAACAAGCTTGCTTCCAGTGAGCACATATTGTGAAAAAAATAAAATAAAAATACAAATCTACTGTTTATATTATGAGAAGCTGCATAAAAAAGGTTCTCAGATAGTTTGTATTTATCAGTGCAAAAATTCTATGAAGTCTTCAGGGATGCTGACAGCAGGTCTGCCCACAACACTTGACTATAATGTGCTTAGGGGTGTTGCAGTTCTTTGATCTCATTGGAATTCAGTGAAATGTAAAATATCACAGCAAAGCTTCAGTAGTAATACATCTAGCTGTAGCAAGAGATTACCTTTGGTAGTTTTATTTCCCATCTCTGCAAACCAACTCTTTAGTTCAGGGTGTTTTATGATTTTTTTTACAGAACGGGAGGTATAGTCCGGGTATTAAATTCGCTGAGACAATGACAAGAGGCTGGTATAAGGAAGTCTTTAGAGCAAACACACTCTTTGATGCTCAGTGCCAGTACTCTGTTATCATAACACTAAAAACTTGGCAAGCAGCACGGAGAATGTTTCTTCACGTGTAAAGCAACAGACTGAAAGAGGTGAGGGAAAGTAGAACATGATGAAAAAAGCACGAGTGTTAAATTCAAAGGAGTGTCCTGCAGTTAAGCAGATAATAGAGATGGATGGGGATATATTCCTAACAAAATAAACAAATCCACTGACCCGTGTAATGATACAATGCCATTACCACCCTTGGGTGTGTCTCCACCCCTCCCTTAGGACATGAACCGAGTTGAAAAAGAAAGAATCTCAGAAACTGGTTCCAAATTGGGGACACAAAAAAAATGATGGCTACCTCTGAGGTGCTGAGAATTCAAAATTTTCTGTAACAGCTTCAGATTATCTCCAGCAGCCAGTAAATGCAGCTGCCATCATGTTATTATTAGCCTGAGCGTTGTTTCATAGTTGTTGCATACGTGATTAATGAGCAGCTTTCTCTTACCTGCCATACACTACATTTCAGTGTGATTAGTTCGGAACGGGCTAAAATAACATTTAGTTTCATTAACAGGTGAGAGCCACTCTGACGCCTTCCTCTAATCATCTTATATAGAAACTGAGGCTTACAGCATAGCTCGACTAATCCAAGAGTAGAAATACTGATTTTCATGATGGTATACATCCAAATGTTTGTGTTTCGGAGGAATCATCCAAACCGGGTGACAAATTTGTGCATTGCTGGCATTAAAAATAAATACATTTACTGTCACATCAAGCAGTGACCTGCCACCTACAATGTGCTGCTGGTACGGTACACACCTCCCACCTACTTAAGTAAGTTAGATAACACCTTATAACCAACTGTATATAAACTCCTCTGCAAACAAGTCTCGAAGTCAAAGCAGTTAGCGAGGAGGGAATCAACAGTTAAATAAGTCAGTTAAAAGTAACAGCTGAAGTAAAAGACATCTTTTAAAGCTAATGTTGGCTTGGCGCAGCAGGAAGAACATTGACAACCCTGTTTTTTTTTTCTTCTTCTTTTTTCTTTTTTTAAAAAAGGCCACATTCCATTCCAAGTGAGGTGAGCCAGTTTCAGGGTCCTGGTCTTATGCATGCTGTCTTGACTCCTTGATGGAACTGGGGTATTGTTATCAAAATGTGATTCACCTGCGTCTTTTTTCTGGTATTCAAAATTTTCTCCATGAAACAGGTCTATTGGCATAAAGTAACCCAAGAACAGTTGAAGTAATTAGCTAAATATAATGGATAGATGATTGAAATAGAGCTGCAAGGTGGCTCGGTGGTTAGCACCATTGCCTCGCAGCTAGACGATACTAGGACGACCGGGATCTTTCTGCGTGGAGTTTGCATGTTCTCCCCGAGCAGCGTGGGTTCTCTCCGGGTTCTCCTGCTTCCTCCCACAGTCCAAAAACATGTTGAGGTTAATTGGTGATTCTAAATTGTCCGTAGGTGTGAATGGGAGTGTGCTTGGTTGTCTGTCTGTAATTGTAGCCCTGAAATAGACTGGCGACCTGTCCAGGTTGTCCCCTGCCTTCACCCTGAGTCAACTGGGATAGACTCCAGCCCCCCGTGACCTTAGTAAGGATTCAGTGGTGTATAGATAATGGATGATTGAAATAGCTAAAAATGACAAAACAGTTCAAACAGGTAAAAATGGAGGAAAATTATAAAAATGAATGCTTAACTAGTTACAAATGATCAGATATAAAATATTACAATTTTTTTTGTTGTTGTTGTGCTATATAAGATCTACTTTCAGTCAACTGACGTGAACACATGTGGAATGTAATGAATAGAGTCAAAAAAACAAACAAACAAACAAAAACATGTTAGTAACCACCGATTTATACGTTATTAACATTAATATGTATAACCCTGTCTACAGTATTTCTCTCTTGCAAATGTCACTGCAACTTCAGGCTCAGGACATCTCATACACAAGAGGTACAGTACATTCACGTAGCATCAGAATAACTGGAAATATGAGTTTACGACTGCGAAACTGGGGCTGCAAAGTGGCTTGGTGGTTAGCACCATTGCCTCGCAGCAAGAAGGTTGGTGGTTCGCATCCTGTTTGCGTGGAGTTTGCATGTTCTGCCTGTGCAGCGTGGGTTCTCTCTGGGTTCTCCAGCTTCCTCCCACAGTCCAAAAACATGTTGAGGTTAATTGGTGATTCTAAATTGTCCATAGGTGTGAATGTGAGTGTGGGATAGGCTCCAGCCCCGCATGACCCTAGTGAGGATTAAGCGGTGTATAGATAATGAATGGATGGATGGATGGATGGACTGTGAAACTATGCTTAAGAACCCCCACAAGTTGGAACAACAACTCGGAAGGACAACGAAAGTGTTGGTAGACAAGTTGTTGACGTTATAAATGCAGAAAATTGGTGAATGAAAGTAAATGCTTGGTTGACAGTAAAAAAAAACGTGTGATATACGTTGCAAATTTACATATTGCATATCTTTTTTCTGCTAACTAACAGTCATTTTTTGTCCATGTAGAGTGATTTACAATATTGATAAATCAGGTTAAGCAATATTTTAGTGCGATAAGAAAATGAAGTGTTGTTAAAATACAATAAAATAAATGAATATAATAAAATACAACCTTTGTCTTTGTAGAGTCCAAGTTGTTTTCTCATTCTGATTATAAAGCGTATGAACACACAAAAGTCAAAAGAACACTTTTCCATAAAAGAGCAATATTAGACTCATTTATGTCATTAAATTAAGATAAT